GAAGGGCTGGAATGGTTAACTTCACACTGCTTTGGAGCAAAGGGTATATAATATCTAGTTTCCCCCTTAGTAATGCCAACACTGGGTTCACGTAATTCTTCCATTGTAAATGTACTTTGTGCTTAACCAGTAATCTGTGAGCTAGTATCTATTTTACTATCAACCTTTGGCCTAATGGTTTTAAGGATCATCCATTGATGATCCTTGCCTGAATCAGCTATATTATTAGGGATTTCCAAATGATGATTCCCTTGACTATTCCTCCTTTATTTATAAGTTAGCATTCCTCTGTAAAGAAGAGTTTCCTTAATCATCTGCTGCTGTCTGCTTAGTCTGACCTGATGTTATTATTGAAAAAGTAGGACAAAATGCTTAGTTTTCTCTCTTTATTAATTTTAGTAATCTTTAATGATGGCAAATGAGGCTTTTAAAAAATTCTTTTTTTTTTCTCTCCAGCAGTCACTATGGAATTTGTTAAAGTGTCGTAATCAATTACACTCTTATTTTCTCTGATTCTCAAATTGTTCTAAATTTGGTCTGTGGAAGCTCTTTCTAATAGGAGTTGAGACCTGGAAGGAATCTCAGAAATCAGCTAATCCAGGCCCCTAAGTTTTATAGGTGAGGGAACTGAAGCTCTGAAGTTGGTGACATCCTAATGTGTCACAGATACTTAGTGGCAGAGCAAGGATTCGGATCCAGGTCTCTGGAGGCCTCAGCTAGTGCTTTTACCACTATGTTAAGAGAGACATCTTCAGTAAATCTTGCTTTCAACTTCTTGCTAATAGTATTTATTGTAATGAGAGACAATGGCCCACATGTTTGCAGTCGTATATTTTTTATTAAAAGTTATTGTCTAGTCCAGTGGGTCCCAAATTCTGCTTTGTTCAGGGACAGTGAAGAAGCGCCATGGTAGGCTCGGGATTGAGCCAGTCTGAGAGTTGAGTTTGACTTGGACAGTTTGGGGTCTACAGGTTGAATTTGTCCTATGGTCACATTTTATTTGATCTGCACAGAATTTTGAAAACATGAAATTCGTTGTCAATATAGAATAGTAGTGATTTCACATACAAATTTGAGTTGTCAGCGTGTCCTTGACGTGTTTGTTGTCTGATGTTGTGTTGCTTTCCTCCCTAACCTTGTAAGCGTTTGACGTAGTGACTCTGTAGTTAAAGTGAAGAATTCTAGGAAGGTTTCTTGCAATGAAGTTACAGATTGAAGGTAGTATTAATGATGCAGACACACGTGAACAGCAAGAAGATGGTAGACCTGAGAGCTTTCCAGCTGCTAAATCACAGAAAGTAAAACCAATGATGACAGGAAGTCAGCTGGAAAATTTGGGGTTTTCAAGAAGATAGTTCGAAATGTTGGTTTCCTTCCTGTCATTAATTATGAACCTCACCTCGGGTGTTTAATATGCTCATGCACATGTATATGTATATTTTAATGAATCCTATGAAAAAAATTTTCATTTTTGTAGGTCAAAAATGGTCAGATATTGGCAGTTTCATGTGGTTCAACTAAAAGAAAAAAGTAACACATAATGTGGGGTGAGTGCCCTAAATCTTCCTTTCATAGGTGTGTTACGCAAGCAGATTTGAAGCCTGCTGAAATCGGAGAGATTTCCTTAGGTTAGGCATTCCATAGAAATGGTTAGTGAATAAAGCAATGGATATATTAAAATTATGATTGTAAGAAAGTGCTGTTTGTGTAGTAGAAACAACAATGAATAAAGAGTTGTAGAAGGAAGTAGGTGGCAGGTGCTGGGGTCCTTAGAGGAAGGCTTCCAAGTGGAAGTGGGTCTAGTAAGTTATAAAATCTTCATCAAACGCCACATATAAATTGTTTTAATTATCTGCATTTTTTCTTACCACAATTGTGTGGATAATTAAGAGTTCACTATATTTTTATAATCTTGCATCCACAGAAACCCAAGTTTATTTGATCACATCATTTTAATACACTCACTAGTATACTTTCCAATGTACTGCCAAGGAAGGCAGTTTTACCAAATGCAGAGGGCTAAATATACTTATAAAATTACCTCCTCTGTGTTCTTTGTTTTTATTTTTTGGAGGGAGGAGATAATTAGATTTATTTATCTGTTTGGTGGAGGCACTAGGGATTGAACCCAGGACCTTGCACATGCTAAGCATATGCTCTACCCCTGAGCTATACCCTCCCCTAACTCAGCCAGACCCTTCTTCCTATGTTTTAGTGTCAGTGTTTTTCAAACTGAATTGTAACCCATTGGTAAGTTGTGAAATTAACTTTATTGGGTCAAAACTAGTATCTTTTCAAAAGTAAAGTAAAATAGAGTAGAAAATATGGAATACATGTACAGTGTAAGGGTAGCATAATTTAAAGAAATTTACATTTTAGTTTTATATGTGTATGTTTCTGAGTACAGCTGACCTTTGAACATAGTGGGGGTTAATCCATGCATAATTTATAGTTGGTTCTCAGTATCTGCAATTCTTCCACATCCCTGCAGTCAACCCACCAGGGTGATGTAGTTAAAATATCTGCATAAAAGTGGACCCACATAGTTCAAACGCGTGTTGTTTAAGGGTCAACTGTATCTATGTGAATATGCTAGGCTGCGATGCAATACATACTTCTTACCATGGGCTGAGGACAAAAATCAAAAGCCGTATTTATTACAGTTTGGTAGTTTGCGTTTATGATAGAGTGATTGCTTTCTATTAATAGCAGGGCTTTAAGGTCTCAGTTCTGATTCTTATTTTGAATTTTCAAAGCTGTATATCCTTTAATAATCTTACTAGGCCTGCATCCAACGAGGCTTTTTTCCCCCTGATCCCAGTGCATTTTTTGGGGTTTCCATTCCTTCCTTTTCAGTCCTTTGAACACTGCTGAATTGATCGATTCAATTTTCTATTTCTTCCAAATGCATACTGCAGAGAAGGACTGACTGGCTTGGGTAGATCAGTTGCAGTGGGTTGTGGGTACTGAGATGATTACCTTCTGCATTAGTTGACAAAGGCTAAATTCATGACAAAGTGGAGTGAAAAATTGAACTATATATGCCTTAATGCCAAATCCTCAAATTCATTACCAAAACATGCTTTATTTTTTGGCCTTCTTCTGGATTGTCTTTAGCATCAGTCAATTTCTTCCTTCATTTCAGCAGTCAGTGCACTGTGGGCATGGCACGGCCTGAGTAATTGCTAAACGTGGTCAGTGGGAAGTTGGCAGAGAGGCCCCAGCCTCCTGGGCACCAGGTCGTTCTGTTACTTGTCAGGGTTCTGAGTGGTGACGTGGTTAAGTGGACACGGCCTGAGCTGTCTACTCACAATAAGCCACTGGTTTCCAGCCCTTTCTCTGATCTTTGCTGGGTGATAGACCATCATCAAGCAAGTTGTTTCAACTCCTGAGTCTCAGTTTATTTACTGTTAAATGGGGGATTCCCACATAGGATTATTTGGTGTGTGGCACATAGTAATTGAGTCCCTGTTAATTTCCCTCCCCTCTTCTTTCGTTTCTTATACAGCTTTTCTTAAGTGACATTAATACCAGTGAGGTTCCATGTTGAAGGAAGAAGTGATGACCTTTTAAAGATAATCATCTGTGGGGCTGTTGTGCCTGCCGGAGAGGGGATGCTGTGTGCCATTCTCAGCATGGAAGGACTGAGAAGCAGAATGGTGCCCAGCCTGTCTGAAATGTGCTCGATAAATATTATCAGTATCAGTAACTCCATGTTATAAACAGCAGTCTCCCTGTTTCTTTGGTGTACTGGTGCTTAAGTGATTTAGGATTATAGTCTTGATTTCAGGGATCTCTGTAGCTGTTTACTGCCCCCCAGGTAACAGTAAAGAACAGATCTTCTTGGCTCTGCCATTATTTGTGACTCTCAGAACTTCTTTTCTTTGTCTGTACAATGGGAGGTTGCATTAACTAGTTGTAGTGTCTTTAAGCTTTAACATTTGACTGTTGCCAGGAGTTGGGCTTTCTGTTGTTCATTAAGGAATTTATATTCCTTGAAACATTGTTTTGGTGGTTGTTTTCCCCCCGAATAATGTTCGTCAGAAGTTCCCCTGGATATTTTGTTGGGTTTTTTCCCTCCACCTCCTTGTGAAGGGAAGGGCTCTACTGTGGAATGGTCACAGGCAGGTTTGGAGGAGGCTCTCAAAGGCATGAGCGACCCTGTCTCCTCTCTGCACACATTTCTACAGAATGTCTGGCTGCACAAGCCTGGCCCCATGCCCTCTGCCTCTCCAGTGTCTGCTTTGGTTGCCTTAGTTGAGGAAATAGTGTTGCTTACCCATAGGTCCCTCCCTGCACGGGCCAGCCGCTCCTGGTGTGCACCAGCGGCTCTCTCCTGGGAGCTTGTCCAAATGCAGCTCCCCACATCCCAGTCCCAGAGAGTCTGATTTTCATAAGCACAGGACTCCGAATTGGAAACAAGTGCCGCTGGTGCATCTCGCGCTGGTGATTCCAAGCATGCACTTTGAGAAACCTTGATTTGTCGTGTGCCCCCTTGGCTGTTTGAAAAACTGGCAGGAGAATTTAAACTTTATTTATGAACAGTCTTCCTCTGAGAATGGCAGACCTACTTCTTTCTTGTTCATAATTGGGATGAATTTATGATTTTTATGGAAACCAGGTGATTTTCTGCCTGGTGGGCTTGTCTCTCAAGTCAGGCAGGACTCAGTGCTTATCATTTTAAGACCATGTGCCAGGGGCTGCAGAGGTTTGAAACACATGATGTTCAGAACCTTGTCAGAATTTTAATGTTGAGCAGTTTAACCCTTTTATGTTGGCTCCTGTGTTGGGGATTCAGGCTGTTCAACTGAAAGTTGATTAAGTTGGATTTTATATATGTAAATACTTCGTGTTGGGTAAATTAGTTAATGTTTTAAATGTATCTCAATCATTGGGCATGAAGATTTGAAGAAAAAAATTTTTCCAGGGAGTAATAATAGTTTATTTTAGTAACTTGATTATTGTACTAATCCTTTTTCAATGTAATCGTCACTACCCAGGGTGAAAAGTTTGGACCATTTGCTGGAGAGAAGAAAATGCCTGAAGACTTGGATGAAAATATGGATTACAGGTTGATGTGGGAGGTGAGGATGTGACTGTTGTTTTAAATACTTAAAATATGTTTAATTGCATTTATAAGGCTAAGTTAATAGATATTGATTCCAGTTGACTAGGCATTGAAATGTTCTGATTTTAAGGAATCTGAGTACCTTGAAAGTTTAGCATTTAAAAAAATGCTATTGAAATACCTTACTAGACAATTCTTTTAAAACCCTGCAGTTTATATAGTTCATCACTGAAAAGAAGTTTTTCATGCATATGGATGTTTGGATTTCAAAATAAGCATATTCTCTTTATGGATTTAGAATTTGATTTCTGTAAATGAAATTCCACTTTTCCTTTAACTTTTATTTCCCAGTTGTAGTTCTAATTGCATAGAGCTCTGTGTTGGAATGAAAATCCCAGCTTAAAATGTACTTTACCTTTAAAAAAATACATTTAAAGAGCTGTGACACCATAGGTAGTCTTTTGTAATCTAAAAATCTCTCTAATGCAGGAATTTGTATATGCAAATGTGCATCTGTAGATCATGAGAATTTTCATCCTAGTTTATGCCAACCATTTTCATTACTCTTCTTTTCTAACCTTTAAAAGAAGAAAGGGCCTGAGAGATGGAAAAGCAGAGATACAGATACTGTTGAAACAGAAACTTGCAAAAGAAAACTTGGCCCCAAGGATTTTATTTGGTGGTTTATGAGGAGGGTGGGAGTGAGATATGTGTAGGTGGGGCTGAGAGAAGTAGGATTGTAAAATCAGAAAGGGATAAAATACTGGAACAGAGAATGACACATAAAATGTTTCTCTGAATATGTACTTTTCAGTTAGGGTCTCCAGAGAAACACAACCAATGGATGATATATATGTGTGTGTGTATATATGTGTTTCGAGGCATTGGCTCTCATGACTGTGCGGGTGGTGGGTGGGAATCTGTAGGCTGGAAACTCAGGAATAAATGTTTTAGTCCTGAGGCAGAGCTCCTCTGGCAAACCTCAGTTTTTGCAGTTAAGGCCTCTGATTGGATGAGAGCCACACACAGGATTGGCAGTAATCTCCTTTATTTAAAGTCAATTGATGGTAGATGTTAGCCACATCTACAAAACACCTTCACAGCAAAACCTAGGTCAGCATTTGATTAAATAACTGGCCTACCATCTGGCCAAATTGACACTTAAAACGCACCTTAATGTATTCTCTGCAAGCGAGATACATATTTGAGCATCGTCGTATTGCTGAAACTGCTGGATGTGGGAGTGGGGTTGCTTAAGAAGAGATTCTTAAAAGATTTCTGCAGTACAGGTGATGGGAAATAGAAATTCATAATATAGTCTTCATTATGATTTAAGTAGAAAATGTCATTGATTTGCCTTAATTTAACATGCTGTTTGAATTGTTTACTTTTATAAACCTAAAAGTATTTTTAATGGCTTTCACTATTTTTCTGTAAGGTCTTAATTTTCTCAGCAGTTAATTTTTTTTTTACTGTGAAGGTTTTCAAAAATGAAACATTTATGTGACAAAAAAAGATAACCTGAATAAGTCATAAATGATAAAAACAGCAATTATCTAGGTGGTTGTTAATGACTTTTGATATTTGCTATGTTCTCTCTGAAAATTTTAGTGGTCAGATTACTGTCTTGCCCAGCTGGTTATGATGCATTGCTGAGCAGATGATGATTATAATTTTTATTTTGAAAAAAAGACTTGCATCTAGGAAACTTAAGGAGGCTGACAGAGCTGCAGCAGATCATCTCGTTTTGCACTATGTATTCTCATGGTTCCTTGATGTGCTTACAGTATTATTGTTGCACAGTAGCATTCTCAGTCCTCTCGCTTTGCCACCCAAAGAGCTATTGATTCTATGCATTCTGTGTTCGGGTACTGTTACAGTCACATGACGATGGACGTTCTTATTTTATCTTACTCCTTATTTTATGCTTGTGTTTTGAATAAGCAGTATTTGTACTTTTGACACAATTCAAAGGATATTGATGCAGACTCTCCCTGTCTGTCCCCTTCAAGCCTGCTCTTTTCACCTAAGATTCCTGTAACCCGTTAGTTCACGCACCTTTCCCCCTACTCTGTCGTTTTTCCATCTCTGAGTCTGGCCCTTCAGGGTGGATGGTCCGTCATTCTCTGCTCTGTCCAGTTGTGCTGCTCAGCACGGCAGAGGAGAGGCTCCCTCAGTGGTGGATGGCTTGCCGGGGCAGCATTTGAAAAGCGATCAACATTTTTTGAACTGCAAAGGTTTACTGCCTGCCACCTTCAGTCTTCTTCCTTATGATGAGAGAGCTGCTTCCCAGCCTTGAGCTACATTATTGAAGTCCATTTTTATTACTTTAGCCTTGGAGGTGCCAGGATACAGAAGGAGCACAAAGAAAGGAGAGTGACTGGTCCTACCATAGGCCTCCGCTCTGGGGCCCTTCGAGCCCTCTCAGAGGGAGGTAATGAGCCTTCCCTCCTCTGGTGGGGAAATGAGGACTGGTTATTTAAGTCCTTTCTAATATGCCCCACAGCTCCAGAGCCAGCCATTGGCAGCTCTCAAATGGGTAGCGCTTGTCCTCCAGCCAGTGGTTACCTATGTGTGGTTATGGAACACAACCCAGGTCCTGTGGTAGTCTCGGGAAAAGGGTGCCATGTGAAAGAGCACGTGGCACAGCTCTTTCTCAGTTTGTATTTGCACTTGGCTTGTGGTGCCTGCAGTTCTGATGGACAGGGCCAAGAGCCCCTAAGAAGCCCGTTCACACCAGACAACTGGGAGGTACCAGTTAGGATGGAGCCCGCTGGTGTGCGTACGTCCCTGTTAGTTTGGGACAGGGCATAAAGGCATCTGAGGGGTTTGGCGGGAAGCACTGACATCGTCTGCTGCCACCTTCCTCTCCCCCCAGAGGCGCAGCTTGGTACTTACGATGCCCTCTGGTTCTGGGCACTGACCAGCACCTCGGCCTCTTTCTGTGTTGGCCACCAGGATTGAGATTGGAATCTGAAAAGACTCATCTTATCTGTCCTTAAGCTTCTTGATAACATCAGATTTTTGATTTTCTTTTAAAGTTAAGTGCATTAGCAGAAGAATTCTGGATTTCTCAGGCCTCGGGCCAATTACAGAGCGTGAGGTTGGAAACCAGTGCTCGACTGTAAATGCTTCCCGTTGATAATTTGATGGCATGTGCCCAGTTGTTTGTATTGTATTCTGTTCCTCCCTTAATCAGAAGTCTTTTTGCCTACTTTTTCCCAGGTGATTTGGAGAATGAGATATGTTTCTTTCCATGCTCTACCAGCTCAGACTTGCTCTAAGACCAAAATCCATTCATGTACTGTTGCTAAAACTCTCAAATAATTTTTGTTTTTAAGTCCCGAAGACCTTCTCTTCCTATAATATTTTCTTTGGTATTTCAAACCACAGTTCAAATGCCTCCTCTCCAGGCACTGGCTCTTACTCTAGCACATACTGTTAAGTTTTGTACCTATAGAATGCAACAGAGATTTTATTGCCACTTGCTCAGCCTGTTATTCAGGCATTCCAAAGTGGCTCTCGATGAATCCAGTGTCTTCTGG